AGAAATAGGAGAGGAGGTGAGAGGAGAGGAGGGGAGAGGAGGAAATAGGAATAGGAATAGAACAGAACATAGACTTGTATATCACTTCATAGTGCTTTGCAGCTTTTTCTAAGTGGTTCACAGAGTCAGACTCTTGCCCCCAACAATCTGGCCCCTCATTTTACCAATCTTGGAAGGATGGAAGGCTGAGTCTACCTTGAGCCCATCAGGATTGAACTCCCTGCTGTGGGCAGAGTCAGCCTGCAATAACCACTCCACCGCCATGGCTCTTCTACTACTACACTACCTATTTCAAAGCAAATGCTTTGCATCTGAGGGGTGGGTCCCAAGACTTTGCGACGTATAAAAGGGAAGGCACAAAGTTGGAGCAGATGAACTTTTATTTGCCCTCAGAAGGAAAATACACCAGAATTCTCATTATGTTCTGGGCTTCCTTCCTTCTCTCGTTGCTGAACAAGTGATCGTTTCATTCTGCCCCAGGGAGACAGACACAGATGCCGGCTGGGTCAGGACATACTGGGCAAAGGATCCTGTGCAAAGAAACAAAGAAATAAATAATGTCTTGTGCAAAAGAACATTTTCACTTGATGAAACATTTAACCAACGACCTCTCTCTTTTTACAGCACCTGAGGAGTTGACCAGCATCGAGAGAAGGAAGGAAGCCCAGAACATAATGAGAATTCTGGTGTATTTCCCTTCTGAGGGCAAATAAAAGTTCATCTGCTCCAACACTTGTGCCTTCCCTTTTATACGTTGCAAAGTCTTGGGACCAACCCCTCAAATGCAAAGCATTTGCTTTGAAACTAAACTAAATAGGTGGTGTACAAGTAGAAGAGCCATGCCGGTGGAGTGCTTATTGCAGGCTGACTCTACCCACAGCGGGGAGTTCAATCCTGATGGGCTCAAGGTAGACTCAGTGTTCCATCCTTCCCAGGTCGGTAAAATGAGAAACCAGATTGTTGGGGGCAATAGTCTGACTCTGTGAACTGTTTAGAAAGAGCTGCAAAGCACTTATACAAGTCTAAGTTCTGTTCTATTCCTATTCTTCTTTTCTTCTCTTCTATTTTATTCTATTCTGTTCTCTATTCTATTCTATGCCATTCCATCTCATCCCATCTCATCCCATCCCATCCAATCTCATCCATGATCTCATTCCCTTCCATTCTAAGCCCTTGGAAGAAAAGGCATCCCAGATCAGCCTCCTTTTAGTTTCCATCCCATGAAAAATATCAATTTCAAAATTTTAATCAAAAGGGGGAAAAACAATGCTAAGACGTTACTGAGGGCAATACTCTTTATTGCAACCTTTATGAAGATTGAGAATTTATTCCTGTTTGTTACAAGATGAAGCAGGACAATGTCCTTATACTTAGCAAGGCAGAGAGAAGAACTGAGTCTGCACTTTAAGTATCAACTGTGTCAGAATTTCCCAGGCCAGACTGATGGTTGACTAAGGGGAGGAAGGAAGTCTTTGCAAGTAAGCACAAGGGGAGGTTTTTGTCTCACTTCTGCATGTGAGTTTATCACTGTGGATACCAATAGTTGCTGCCACTGCCGTAATAACTACCACAATAGTAATCAGCCTCATCCTCAGCCTGGAGGTTTGTAATAGTTAAATAGGCTGCATTGGCTGAGGTGTCCTTGGATCCTGTGAATCGACCGTTGGTGCCAGTATCATAGAGAAGGTATTTGGGGCTCTCTCCAGCCTTCTGTTGGTACCAAGATATGGTATAGCTGCCTACTTGGCTGCCNAGATGCAAAGCATTTGCTTTGAAATAGATGGTATAAAAGTAGAAGAGCCATGGTGGTTCAATGGTTATTGTAGGCTGACCTTGGAGATCTTCTTCTCAAGCTGGAGACCATTTACCATTTTGTACAAATGGCAGTCCAGTCTCTGCTTAAAAAACTCCAGTCTTGGAGAAACCACAACTTCTGAAGGCAACTTCTGTTCTACTGGTTGGTTCTTCTCACTATTAGGAAGTTTCTCCTTAATTCCAGGTTGCTTCTCTCCTTGATTCGTTTCTATCCGTTGTTTCTTGTTTTGCCCTCTGGAGCTTTGAGAAATAAGTTGACCCCCTCTTTTCTGTAACAGCCCATCAATTATTGGAATACTTCTAGCATGTTCACCGGTAGTCCTTTCTTTTTCAAGACTAGCCTTACACAATTCTTGCAACTGTTCTTCATATGTTTTAATTAACTTAGTTGCTCTGTTCTATCCACTCTTTCCAAAGTCTCAACATCTTTTTTGTAACTTGGTGACCAAAATTGGATTCTGTATTCCAGGTGTGGCCTTACTAGACTCTTATAAAGATCCATTGATATCCATGTACACTCTCCCTTCCCATCTTACTACTTGAACAACTGGTTTCCAAATTAAAGACTATTTTTTTCTAAAAAACTGGTAACATTCTTTAAGTATTGAACCCTCCGGGAATAAATCCCCAGGAATTGTTTGTGTGCCACATTTGGGATGAGAACGTTTATTCCAGATGGTTATTTCTGCAGAAAGATAAGTCTCACGCTTGGGACAGAGGTGTAAATCAAGCGCCCCAAATAAAAATTGGCTCAGAGATTAATACAAAAAACTTTCTTTGTACAACCATCCATCTACAAGGTCACTATTCACATTCAGCTGACTGCATCTGTCATTCTTGGTGCAGGATTAAATTTTATCATCATTAGTAGATTATATTTTTCATACTATGAGTGGTCCAGTATCATAGAGGTGGAGCAAATGCCTCATAATGAGGAGGCTGGGATTTCGATCCTAGGTATTTCTCTCTCTGTGGGCAGAATGAGAATATATCTGCTGAAGAAAACTCAGCATTGGTGACAGGAAGGGCATCTGGCCAGTCAATACTCCGCTCCATTCAGCTGCCCAGACTCCATCCTGCAAGTGGTTGTTAAAAGAGGATGCTGATTTGTCATATAATCCTATTGTTAATCATACTCTCCGAGGTTTCCTGTTTCACACTGTGGCTAGTTTTGCAAGTATGTTTACAGGATCCAGTGCATAATTTAATACATTTTAACTCTGGGTGTTGATATAATTTGGTCAATTTCTGGCTGACTTGTTGTCAAAGGCTTTATTTTATATTCTTAAGCCATCATCAACCTCTCAACAAGCCCTCGATGATCAAACCTAACCTTTGTTTTCTTCATGTCCTTAACAAAGAAATTGGATCGAAAAAATCCCCAAACTCCCTGAGAAATTAGGAATTCTGGTAAAATCATTTTCCAAACTGAAAACTATGTTGGAGAAATTCAGCCAATCACCTGGGTTGCTCTGTCCACACTCTTATAAAGCACTTGTTTCTGTTGAAATATTGAGTTTCAATATTGAATTGTTTCTTTGCAGAATATATTTTAAAACTGTAGCAAGACAGTTGAGAGAAGAACTGAGTCTATTGTTTAAGTATCAACTGTGCCAGTATTTCCCAGGCCAGGCTGATGGTTAGTTCAGAGGAAGAAGGAAGTGTTTGCAAGTTAGCACAAGGGGAGGTTTTTATCTCACTTCTGCAAGAGAGTGTATCACTGTGGGTATAGGTTGTTACTTGTTCCGTAATAAACAGCACAATAGTAATCAGCCTCATCCTCAGCCTGGAGATTTGTAATGGTTAAATAGGCTGCATTGGCNTCAAGGTGCTAGTTATTACTTATAAAGCCCTACATGGTATTGGACCTGGGTACTTGAGAGACCGCCTCCTGCCAATTACCTCCCATAGACCCATTCGATCCCACAGATTAGGCCTCCTCCGAATTCCATCTGCCGGCCAATTCCGGCTGTCGACCACCGGGAGCAGGGCCTTCTCTGTGGCTGCTCCGGCCCTTTGGAATGAGCTCCCTGTGGAGATTCGGACCCTCGCCACCCTTCAGGCCTTCCGGACAGCCGTTAAGCCCTGGCTGTCCCAGCAAGCCTGGGGTTGAGTCCCCCCCTCTACTTGAATTTGCTGTGCTTGCTGTGCTTTTTTAAACTGTTGTATCACTATCCTATTTGTCTTACTTTCTGTATTTGTTTTTTCCCCTTCCCCTGGTTTTTGTTCAGCTGCCCTGAGTCCCTTCGGGGAATAGGGCAGCTTACAAATCGAATAAATACCAAATACCAATACCAAACTGGGCAGGAGGAAGTTAGGGGGATGCTTGCCCTTATGGCTCTGCTGCAGAATTCAAGAGATGTTGCAGACACCTGGAACTTCTGGAGCAAGTAGATGGACCCAAATGGGAAGCGGAATGCCCGGAAAGGAATATTTTCCTGCCTAAAGTGCGTAATTGCCATTAGGCAAAACCCCAAAAGTAGGAATGTTCTCCTGCCTTCCTCAAGATGACGCTCATGTCAAGAAACATCTGGTTGCATCTGTGAAAGTGCAAAGGGAGGGGAGAATCATGGGAAGGTGACGGGTCTTCGGGGTGAGGAATCCATAATGTAGACCTCATCCCAGAAGCAGTTTTTGCTGCACTTCCCCCTTAGTTTGTATCACTGTGCACTGATTACTGTCAATCACCTGACAGTAATATACTGCCTCATCCTGTGCTTGGGCCCTGGAGATGCTCAGGGTGGCCGTGTTACCTGAGTTGGTGCCAGAGAATCGGTCTGAGATCCCTGTGAGCCTTTCACTATCATCATATATAATCAGAACAGGAGGATCTCCAGGCTTCTGCTGGTACCAGTGAACCATATTGTCTCCAATATTGTTTGCTGAACAAGTGATCCTTTCATTCTGCCCCAGGGGGACAGAGACGGATGCCGGCTGGGACAGGACGTACTGGGCAAAG